ACCGTCATGCTACGAAGAGCATCGTTTCAAAGAGAGGGTTCTGGAGATCATCCGGTTCCATGACCCGGAAAAGCCCTTGTTCCTGTTGTATTCCTTCCATTTGCTTCACACTCCCTTGCAGGTGCCGCAGGTGTGGCTGCGACGAATCGATGACCTTGTTAAAGGGGCGGGTGGCCGTCCGATTGATTCCAAAACTCGCCGACTGTATGCTGCCATGACTCTTTACATGGATGCCGCAGTGGGTGAAGCAGTTGAAGCCTTAAAGAAAAAGAATATGTATGACAACACGTTGATCATCTTTGTTTCCGACAACGGCGGTCCAATCTATGAGCCCGGTGGTGCCTCAAACCATCCTCTGCGAGGAGGTAAGCAATCTCTTTTTGAAGGAGGTCTCCGAACGAATGCCTTTGTCTCAGGCGGCTTCGTACCTGAATCTCGACGCGGCACGAAGTTTGAAGGCGTCATCAGCATTGCGGACTGGTACGGGACACTTGCAGAGCTTGCCGGCGTGGACATCCAGGATCAAAAAGCCGAGGCGGCCAACAGGTGGCTGAGGGAGATGAACCTGCCCCTGCTGTTTCCGGTAGACAGCGTGCCGCAGTGGCAGAACATCCTCCAGAACCGCAGCGGCAGAGCTGATCCTCTGCATCTGGCCAGAGAAGTCCTTCTGGAGTGGCCATACAAATTGCTCACTGGCAAAAGCATGTTTGGTGGCTGGACAGGGCCCGTCTATCCGAACTGCTCCACTGTGCAAAGCGTTCGAAGTCAACAGGGACCAATGGCCGTACCTATGCATACAGATGCTGCTACATTCCTGCCTGAGTTCTCCGAAAACAGTAAGGACTTGCAATCCTGGGCTGTCGACTGCGGTGAGGGTTGCCTTTTCAATGTGAGGGATGATCCGGCGGAGCACGTGGATCTAGCCAAAGATCCTGACTACAAATCCATCTTTCGAAAAATGCATGAGACGCTGCAGCTCATGAACGAAGACACCTTCGATCCCGAACGTGGATTGCCCTCTGTGGAAGCTTGTATCGTGGCCATCGAGCACAGGCGAACCATCGGCCCCTTCTTGGATGTAGGCGAGTTCTACAGCCCTACACCTGCGAGAAGCCCAGATCAGCAAGCTGAAGATGCAGTACTGAGTTCCACGCTTCGCATCATGAGCATGGACGAGAACAAGCTACGGTTTGTCGAGGAGCTGAAGAAGGAGGCGCAGCATGCTCCGCATGACTTTGACAAGTGCCTGGTGCCGATGTTTGGGGATGTAGAGCAGTAGCTTTTGTGTAGGACCATCGCATACCATCATCTCGCCAGAACGGCAGGGTGCTCATGACGCTTCTGTTCCTTGGGATAGGAAGCCAAAGTCGCTAGGCTGAAACTCCTACTACTAGGCACTTTCGGTGCTTTTCCCTGTTGTTACAGAAGCTTTCCCGCAGGTTTCGCTTGTCCCCGGCACTTTAAACTAGGCCCCACGTAATGAGTTGACTTGGGCGAGGCTTTCATGTGGCGATGTTCAGTCGTCTCACCCGCGTGGCAAGGGCCCTGCAGTATTGCTCGAGTATGCGCGAGTGTAAATGCATGACGCCATTGACTGTGTCTGTCGTCTGCTTGAACCTCTCTTGTTTAGACACCTCGCCTGGACTTGTCCCAGATGTGAGAGTCGAAACCCCAGGGGCCCTTGGACACATTCAGCTCTCAGCTTTTCTTTCTGACTTTACCCTGCAATGCGGGTTCGTCCTGGCCAGGGGGAAGGCAAAAAGACCGCATATGCCTCGCCTGGATTGTCCGAGTGTGAGCGTCCAGAGCCGAAGCTTTACACTTTGTGCCGAGGCACCGAAGATGTGACGGCCACCAAGGGCAATGACTTTGAGGACTATTTCCTGAAGCGTGAGCTCCTCATGGGGATCTTCGAGATGGGCTATGAGAAGCCATCCCCTATTCAAGAGGAGAGCTTGCCAGTCGCACTGGCAGGGAAATCCATCTTGGCCCGTGCTAAGAATGGCACCGGCAAGACGGGAGCCTTTGTAATTCCAATCCTCGAGAAGTGCAATACCACCAAGAAGCTGGGTCGCACTTGGGGAAGCTGCATAGCCAGCTTCCTGATGGTCCTACATAGAGCTACGGTTTGTAGAGGTACCAAACCGATAAGCACCTTTGTTCTATACAGCGCTACCTCTTCATAAGGGTAGTTCTCCAAATTAGGGTCCCTGTTGGTGTCCTTTTTGTAAGGGTGCCGTATTGCATGGGGGACCTAAAAAGGGACCCTAATTCAGACAACTACCCGTAAACTACTTTTGCAGACAGCCCAGGAATGCCATCCAGGGACTTATTTTGGTACCGACGCGTGAGTTGGCATTGCAGACATCCTCGGTGGTGAAAGAGCTGGGGAAGCACATGAAGCTCGGCCAGTCTTTGGTATTTAGTGTCTTAGGTTCATAGTATTTTTTGGGGGGAGCCCACAACCCAGGAATGTGCAGTGCATGGTCTCGACCGGTGGGACAAGCCTTCGAGAAGACATCATGCGCCTCTACAACGAGGTCCATATCGTCGTCGCAACTCCAGGGCGTGTCCTGGATCTTGCGAACAAGAATGTGTGCAACTTGAAGCAATGCCAGATGGTTGCAATGGACGAGGCTGACAAGCTTCTCTGCCCAGAGTTTCAGCCGATCATTGAGGATCTCATCAAGTTTCTGCCCCCGGACAGACAGATCCTTGGTAGCTGAAATACTACACTTTAAACCTTTTTGGGGTACTCTGCTCCCTTATAGAACTGAAAGTGTACCCCTTTTTTTGTACTTGTGAACTCAGCAACTAAGGATCCTCATGTACTCTGCGACCTTCCCCATGACCATCCTGGAGTTCAAGAACCGCTTCATGAACGAGGCCCACGAGATCAACTTGATGGATGAGCTCACCCTGAAGGGCGTGTCGCAGTACTACGCCTTTGTGGAGGAGCGCCAGAAGGTTGCTCGGAGTAGACTTTGGGGTTCCCTTGTGTAGCTGGAAGTAGACTTATCTACATCTACCCACACACACACATATATATATATATATACATATATATATATATACACATGTACATTATATATATATACATACATACCTATACATGCATATAATATAGATATACATACATAGGTATGTATGTATGTATGGACAGATAGATAGATCGTCGACCCTACTGGCGGGCTGAGGTCCATTGCCTGAACACGCTCTTCTCCAAGCTTCAGATCAATCAGGCCATCATCTTCTGCAACTCTGTGACTCGTGTGGAGCTTTTGGCGAAGAAGATCACAGAGCTGGGCTACTCTTGCTTCTTCATTCACTCACGGATGTACCAGTCGCACAGAAACCGAGTCTTCCACGACTTCCGCAACGGTGCTTGTCGGTGTCTAGTGTCCTCGGACCTCTTCACCCGCGGCATCGACATCCAGTCTGTGAATGTCGTGATCAACTTTGACTTCCCCAAGAACTCCGAGACCTACCTCCACCGAATCGGGCGATCTGGCCGTTTTGGCCACCTTGGTCTGGGCATCAATTTTGTGACTTACGAGGACCGCTACAACCTCTACCGCATCGAGAAGGAGTTGGGCACAGAGATCCAGCCCATCCCCGCCACCATTGACCCATCGACCTACACCTGAGAGATGAACATGCCCGAAAGCGATATTTTGAGATGGCATGCGATCCGCAAGAGATGAACTGAACGTTTCTTTCAACTCTACGTCGCAGTCTTGTGCCACAGTCAGCTTTGCTTGTCAGCCCTGAACTTGGCAACCAAGTTGGATCGCAGCCCTGTCCTATATGAATCATCACAATTCGAATAGCTATAGGTGCAGTCCAAACCGAGCCAGCCAGCCCATCGCATTGACAGGGAACGTCGCTGCAACGATGGTAGTTTACGGCACATCGTGCAGACGGCGCCGCATAATCCACACACACACACACATACCATGGATGCGTGTACATATGCGCACAAGTATATCTATAGACCGGTGCACGAAGGGATTTGGGGAGACTTCTGTTCAGAGGTCTCCGCGATGGAGCTGTTGGCCTAGGCTCATTATGAAGCCGGCAGCTGGCACCTGCACCACTGGAAATGAAACGGAGATGCTCGCCTGCTCCGAGAAAAGCTTCTGCATGCTTGGGCGATCTGGCGGTAGTAGTTCGACTATACTCGACTAGACCAGACTAGACTCGACCTGACTAGACTAGGTGACTAGACAATTAGAATATATATATATAAATATAAATATACATATAAATATACATATAAATAAATATATATATATATATATACATATATATATATATTAGACTAGACTAGACTGCACTAGACGAGGTGACTAGACTATATATCAGACCAGACTAGACTAGACTATACTCTACGACTATACTACCAGAAGCTCTCAGAAAATCTAATGATCCAACTCCGCGAGGCTGAGGTGCAGACGTGTGTCGAGGAGCAGCGGAAGCCGGGGCTTGGCCTTGGGGCTTGGTCTCTTCGGAATCCCCGCTGCCAGATGGAGATTCCTGCCTATTCTCTTTTGCCTTGGTCTTGTTTGGTGGCTCAAGGGACGAGCAGAAGCCAAGGCCCTATCTCTGTTATCGATAGTTCCGCTTACAACCACTTACTCATCGCCCTTTCGAGTTCAGTGGTGTTTTCCGTGCTAATCTGCAAGACGCTGTAACGTGATAAACCCGAGTCTCAGAAGGAAACTCAGAACACGCCAAGCAACCTCAGTCCGAAACTGGCCTAGCACATAGCAGCGTATTCGAAATGACGCTGCCATGAGCAAGGGTAGCTCACTTCTTTGCCAGCAAACCTCCAAGCAACACTTCTGTCTTAACACCGACTGCGCCTGATAGACCTCGCCCGAGTTGTGAGAGTTCCTGTCAGTGGACACCATAGCTGTGTCTGGTTTGTCCCCAGCCACCTCCAACCCAGGAAGGCAAACTTCAAATAAGTCTCACTCACACTTCCACGCCAGGAGCGCATGCAAGCCTCGCAGGTTAAAGAGGCTGCGACGCAGACGCTAGCTCGGGTACATCAGAAGCTGGTGCCCCAGTTGCCCAGGCCATATCTGATGTGGGAAGTTCCAGGATTATTTCGGTGAATGTGTTTTTGGATTCGCCATGCTGTCAGGGATATATAGCTTCCCCTATCGTCCCTCGCCATCACACAGCCTCAAAGCCTAAGCCCTCCTCCAAGTGATGGGCTGCCCGGAACTTCCCAGGCCCGTTGACACTCATGGCCATGATGCCGGCATCTCAGGAACCTTGACTTGCGAACAGTGCGCTGGCCTTGCCTGCACCTGAGGCTTCCATTGCCTTGAGCTCCATGGCTCTCGGCTCCTCAAGCCAAACGTCTCCACAGCACCGGCCCTGGGCGACTGAAGAGTCGGAGGGGGAGGACTGTAGTAGGGTTCATCCCCACAGCACATGAGAGCTTTTCCGGACAAGGGGCAAGAGCCACCACAAAGCGGGTGCTGACAACCCTTACCGCGGCGGCAGTACCGTGCCTTGGCTTGCAAACAGCTTGGGGCCTTTTCTGTTGGCGGCGCGCGTGACTTTGGGTTGTGGCTGAAGAGGACACCCTGCTGGGCGTTGCGGCGGAGTCGCAGGGGTCTAGGAGGCCATCGGTGAGGCCTGGAAAGCTTCCTCATGCTTCTTTTGTTTGAGCTCCCTGAGCACTTTCGGCGTAATTACTTTGCAGGTTGGACTCGCCTTCACCTTCCGCTTCACCGTCCCCTCCCTCGGGGTCTGGGAGTGACCGTGCCAAGGGCAGCCGGGGCACCCAGAGCCGACAGCAATCGGGGATGTAAGAACAGTCGAAGCAGCTGGTCGTTGCGAGTGCCTAAACCCTAAACCCTAAACCCTCGTCCGTAGCCACTTTGGCTCAAGCTCTCGGTGTCCCTCGTCTGTTCGCACTCGTCATCTTTCCTACTCCTTCCTACCTTTCAACTTTTTTTGTTTCAAGAAGGTTCAAGAACCTTTCTTGAAACATCTTCTGAATGGCAGGCACGGAAGTTGCAGGAATGATTCCTGTCGAACCTCCTGCTCCTGCTGCACCACTTGCTGGTGGTGAACAGCAGCAACGCCCAGGGCAGAGCGGTTTTCCTCAGAATCCAGGACCCATGACTGTTCAAGCAGTTCCAACCATGGGTGGACCAGCTCCCGTGCAACAGACTCCGGGACCTGCATCCACTACACCTGCAGCTGCTGTGAAACCTCTTGCATCCTGCCAGAATGCAGAAGAGGTTGCAGAGTGGTTGCTGTCAGAGTATCAAAGAACGGACAAAATCCCATCAGGGGGAGTGGGAGTCCGAGCAGAAGATGCTCTGAGTTCCATTTTGCAGAGTGTTCTCAGCAAACTGGAATCTTTGACAGCATCTACACCCTACGACTACGAAGGGGCCATGCCTCCAGTCAAACTTCGCGAACTCTTCATTGGAGCAGTCGATTTGGAATTCAGGAGGAAGCATTCTCTAAGGAAGCCAAAGACTGAGATTGACGAGGAAGAGAAGAGGGCTCTCATGAATGTCTATGAGAGGGCAAGCGCAGTGAGGAACAGGCTTGAAACGGACGTTCAAACCACCTTGGCTGAACTCACACAAGCCACTCGTCTCTAAGAGGAGCACGAAGTTGTCAAAGCTGACACCGAAGAATGGAGAGCAAAGGCTGCAAACTTGCAAGCTGCTGAGACAACTCCAAGAGGAGGCATGCACAGGCAAAAGAAAGGCTAGAAGAACACAAGAAGGAAGAAAGTCCAGACAAAGTTGCAAAAGAAGCTATGAAAGCAATGATTGAAGATCTGCATGACAACGATGAGAAGACGCTAAAGGCAGGAGGGTTCTTTCTCCACTACTGTGCACAAGACCTGTTGCTACTCTCCCACTTCCTTGGAGCAGTCTATTCCATCAGAGGACCCAAGCGCACAAGATCAACCAAGAACAACACATCAATCAATGGGAAGACGATCAGAATGTCCGCAAAAGGACAGTCCATCCTCAGGTTCGCCAGCAGCATTGAATCAGAGGTGCTGAGGATGGTAGGAATGGCCTTAGGAGTCAAAGAAAGCATAAATTCGATCATGGGTCTTGCACCTGAGATCGTGATAAGTGCTGGACTGGACGAACAAGGCCACAGCCTATCGAAGCTCCCTTTGAAGAGTGTGAAAGAGGACAACTTGCCTGACAAGTTGGACAGAACGAAGTCGCTCTTTCGTGAGCGTGTATCAGGGCTGCAGGAAGACATAGGCCGCCTACAGGGGGCCCACAACACGGCCACACGAGAAGAAGCTGGGCTCTTGAGGTCCCAGACCAAAGCAGTGGAGGGGATGCAGCAGTCGATTGCAGCGGTACAGTCGGCTTTGGGACAACCACCTGTGGACAGCCAAGGAATCACGGCCGTTCGTGAGCTTGTCACCAACACGGACAACGCCGTGCAGGAGATGACGACCATGCTGCAGGACCTGGCCACGGCCCTTACAGAGCTCAAGGAGAAGATCCCAGAGCGCCCGCCATACAGGCAGCCACCCACACAACAGCCGGCGCAGGCCCAGGAAGCCATGCCCATGCAGCAACAGGCTCCGGTGGGGGGTATGCCATCCGTCATCGACCTCAGCTCAAGGATCCCCCTCACCCCGCAACAGATGGGGGGGAGGGGGACGCTTTCATGGCCCGGCGCCAGGAGGAGTGGCAGTCACTTTCCCTTCGGGGCGTACGATGTATGCTGCAGAGGATGAGATTTTGGGCTATCCGAGGGAGGCCCACCACCACCGCACATGCAAGCATATCGCCGGGGGTAGGTACTTTCAGAGCAGTTTTTGTTCTTCCGGGTGACAAGTTTGCCTTTAGGCTCCTCTTTCTTCCCGGCGCTTGAGTGCGATGATGGCATGCGAGGCTTTTTGTGATTGCATGAGCAGGCCACATGAATTTATCATTGCATGTACAGGCACCACGATGCATGACTGCACCACGGAATGCATGCCACGTTTGAATTTACAAAGCTGCATGACACGTCGAATGTATATTAAGCATGACTGCATGAACAGGAATAACTACTTTTGATGCGGATGACATGGGGGTCTACCCGGGTGTGTTTCGGTTTGCTTTATCCTACTGGTTTGGTACTATGTCGCTTTTGCTTCCTGAAGACCCCTACAAGATCCGTTTGCATGACAGTACAACGTAACATATTTGTGGCCAAATGCTGATGTTGTCAGGTCCCTATCGCGAACAACCTTGCTAGGTAGTTTACCTTTGCCTCGGCTGATTCACTCCAGAGGGGACCTGATGCAAACACCTGCCAGTACTCGGCATGCAACATCGCAACATGACTTCAGCGACCCGGCAAAATCAAAGACTGCCGACCTTGTAGCCTACGTGTCAGTCAAGGAGGTCTATACAATAGAAGTGGACGCAGTTGCCAACATGTCGAAGGCTCACCAGCTCCCAACCCAGACATAGCTTGCCTCTCCGCAGAAGTGTAGTCTGTTTTTGTCTAGTAATGGCATGGGTGGGGTTCGGAAGTTCTGACTGACATGTTGTTGACGCAGTGACCTCAGCGATAAGCAGCTGTGCATGTGTGACAAGTTGATGAGTGGAGAGAAGAGAGAAGGGCCTCAGAACATCAGTGCGATGTCCAACTTTGCGGGGCTACGCCCCAAAGGCAGGAAACAACCGAACCCACTCTCTCCCCCAGGTCGCCTGCTTTGCCTCTCTCTCGGATGCTTCAAACGCGGAGTGCGAATCTTCCCCTCACCCGTGTCCCCTTTAGACAAGGGTTCTGAAAAACCACTAACCCGCGCCCCCTGAGCCATGGCAGTCTGCACTCAGCTTTGGCGAAGTCAGTGATCTGCTACTATTCCGAGGCAAGGGCTGGAGTCTGGCAATGCCATATGTCCATCCTTTGTCTTCGAAGGTGCAGCCACAATGGACAACATGAAACAAGCAATGAAACATGCCAATCTTTCGCCTGAAAGGGAAGCTGGCTGGATCTTGCCGTACTGCGTTGGAACTGGAGCCGAGTGGATACACACAGGAGTAAATGGCTCAGCAACTGCATTGGGGCATCCATCAATGGTCTCTGGCAGCGGAAAGGAAGAGCTGGAGACAGAATTCAATATGCTGAATTCAATATCCTGTGTGACAAATAAGTGACAACTGGTGCTGGACAATGCCAGTGGGCCTGCATGACAAGATATTCGAGTGCACGCATGTTTGAATTCCTAACAGCATGACTGATACAGCAAGTGGGATCGATTTGATGGAGCGAATTTGGCCATGCCCCGTATACCTGAACTGAGTACTGCATGATTTGAATTCCCCACTGCATGTGAATTGGTTGGAGAAGCACATCCTCAAGATGACCCCTTTTTCTGCATGAGAATTGGTTTGAGAAGCACGTATTCAAGATGACCTTCCTCTGCATGGTTGGGATTATACATTTGAGATGTCCCTGCAGAATGACTGAATTCCTGACTGCAAGAGAATTTCTGGAAGCTTTTGCTTGGTGCCGAATTGGTGAGAGCAGCTGCAACTTTCTGGTTACAGCATGTGGAAAAGGTATAGAGAATGACCAATCAGTGAGTTATGGATTTGAGTGACCATTTTGAAACAGCAGTCTTGGATTGCTCTTGTCGGGGGCGACTAATATGTGGCCATGACAAGGTTGTAAAGTGAACATGCTGGGTGGAGGCTGATGAGCTTGGTTTTGTCTAGTATCTTCTGTTCAATTTTGCTCATCCGCCCCTGTCTGTCAAGTTCAAGTAGCAAGCTGAGACGGAACCTGCCATACCTGCGTGAGCGAGTGTGTGAGTCGAAACCGTCGTCCTACTTCGGCAGTCGGAAATAAGGTGTCAACAAAAAAAACCCTCGTCCTAGCTAGGCGGGAGGCAAAAAACCCTAAACCCAGACGCCATGCATCGAAGCCTCACGCCATGCACTCCAAATTCTCACAAGAGCTCGCCGTCTTGCCTGGAAAGTCCGGCTCACCAACATCCCCAAAATCCCAAACCCTCCTTCTGGCTCAGGCGTGTGTCGGTTTCTGCATGCACCCATGGAGAGAAGGAAGCACTCCTCTGATAGTGCAGGAAGAGGGAGGTTCCGGCGACCACGCCTTCACCTGTAAGCCCCACCTCAAAAAAAACCCAAGTGTGGGCCGCAGCAGCTGAGACTGAGACCCGCCAGAGCCTGCTCGAACTTTTTCTTCCTACCATGAGGGGTTTAGGGACTTTAGGGTTGAGGGGTTTAGGGAGTTTAGGGTTGAGGGGTTTGGGGTTTAAGGTTTACGGGGGCTGATTGGCAGAGTCTGGGTTCACAAAAAAAGGGGGGGCTGCATGAGCATCGCCAGCGACCGAGGCCGACCTAACTCCTTGAGCCCTTCTCCACGGAGAGGCAGGACTTCCTAGGTCCTAGGACGTTGTGGGGCGTAGCAGGTTGAGATCTTGGTGTTTAGGGTTTAAGTGTGCTAGTAACTTGTGAGGACCTTAAGATTCCAGCTTGCCGGCACACACCCAAAAAGGGTTTTGGGGTTTAGGGGCATTACTTTAGGCACTTCACGGGGGCGGTCTGAGAGTTTGAGCCAACAGGTCGGCAAAAGAACATGTGTGTCGTCTTTTGCTCTAGCTGTTCTTGAGTTGGGGGTAGGCTTGGGTTTGGGGCCCATGGAGTTTGTCAGCGTCAAGCCTGCTAAGTGTAGTCAGTCTGAGATCCATCTTTGTCTCATTGCCTGGCAGTGTCGACCCCATGGAATCTTACAGCATTCGATCTGAGATCTTGTCTCGTGGAGCCGCAATTCGGCCCCCGAAAAGACATCGCCGTTTAGGGTAAACAAGGCTCTAAACCCTAACCCCCCTGATAGATGCTTGAACTTCCAAGCTCCTCTCTTGGCCATGAATTCATCAATCTGCAACCATGGAACCCTAAACCCTAAACCCCTAAACCCCTAAACCCCTACGCCCTAAACCCTAAACCCCTAAACCCCTACGCCCTAAATCCTAAACCCCTAAAGCCCTAAAAGAAAAAGCCTACGCGTGCCTCAACCGGATGCTTTCGCAAACGTGGGTGTGAACTCCTATGCTGGTTGTCTAAATTAGCGTCCCTTTTAGGGTCCTGTTTATAAGGCTGCGGTACTATATTGGGGACCTAAAAAGGGACCCTAATTTAAAGAGCTGCCCACATACACCCATCCACACCCAAAAGGAATCTTGGGTTGCTCTCCCAAGCCCCCTGACTGAAATCAGGGTTTGGTGCTACCCTGTGAAGCCAAGACGACCCCAGACGGGCTATCTGCAGGTCCTTTGTTCGGCTGAGTCCCGCAACGAGGGGATCGTTAATGGACCTGCAATCCGATACCCTGCTGCGACCTTGCATAGACAGGACAGCTGTCCTTGAAATGCAAAGCGAACCCAGGGGTTAATTTGAAGGAAGCTCAAAGCGGAGTTTCCCTGTACTGCAATCTGCAGTCATCTGACTGGTTCTTAGTAGGGAATGGGGGAATGGATCCCTACAGTAGTCCCCTGTAGTCCCCTCTGGTAGTCCCAATAACCCATTCCCCCATTCTTTACTAAGAACCAGGCAGTCATGTAGTCGCCCCAGCCGTCCCTGGCAACAGCGGAGCTTACCCAGCCTTGAAGCTGCTGTCACAACGCCCCACTGCTGTTTCCAGCATGGTCGGCTCTGCCCATACTCAGGGCCATAAGAATGGCTCGGTCTTACTGCAGACCAGTTTTCGCAGGCAAGGCTCGATTGTTTAGCAGTTTAGAAAAACAAGTTTAGGGCCGTTTAGGCTGCTTAGGGGATGAGTTTCTGGAGTTTCTGGGCCTGCGCCCATATTCGAGCTGTTCAGGTTCTCCTGTCCTCTACCCCAGGCCCCAGGTAGAACACTTCACCCTCCGAAATGCCGACCGGTAGGCTTCGACGCTTAGACTTTGGTTGGAGAGCGTGCCTGGTTTCACACACTGTGCAATTAGCCGCTGCTTTGCCGCAAGTCCCCGATGGATACTAAAGCAACACAGGCATTCGATGTACATGCATGCGGGCATGCTTTACATGTTTAGGTGTGCATGTTCCAAGTGCGTCACAATCAATTATCTTCTCAGGGTTTGCGATGTAACGACTCCTCAGATTTCTGGTCCCCTACTTTAGATGTTCTGTATCCGTGCACCGAGTCCTGGGACACTTTCAGCAAAGTTGCTCGACGAGCAAAGATGCTGGTCGTGAGACGCATGGCCAAGTCATTCTCGCTTAGCCTCGCCTGAAGTATAGGGTTGAGGGTTTAGGGTTTAGGGTATAATGAAAGGAAGATGGTATGCGTTGAGATGCCGAACTGCGAAATGAGTTGGCCATCTGATGATCTGACGGAAGCAGAACCCTGCTTCTAGAGAAAAAGCTGCACGAATTCTGCCTCAAGGAACACATGTGTCTGAAAGGTCCACAGCTTCTGTCTCCTGCTACGCGTCAACAACCTTTGGCAACCTTCTTGCGCAGCCACCACGGCAACAGCTCGGCACTTCACCGCTGTCAGGGAGTCGATAAGCTCAAGGCTTCTGATATCCATGTCACACATCCAGTAAAGCCATACGTAGCAGCTAACACATCGCCTTCGCATGCTATTCCTGAGTTTAACTGGCCTCTTCATTCACTCAGCTATCAGCTTTCCAAGAAGTGCCCCTGGCGTGGGCAGGCGCCCCTGCCTCCGACTGCCCTTTCGGAGCCATGGTCGAAGAAGAGGGGCGGCTGATGAAGCAGATGGCCGCATTCCTCCGACACAAGGGCCTCAGGAGACACGCAGAAGCTTGTGGTGTGCCTCTTCCCTCTGAGTCCTGCTGAGATCTTTGCTTTGCTGCTAGCCCTCCAACTTCGACGACGACGGCTGCTGCAACACAGCCGTCACCACGACGACGACTAATACGCCACAACAGCGCCATTGCAGAAGCAGCAGCAGCAGCGGCAGCAGCAGCAGCAGCGCTACACTGCACCACCACAACGGCACCGCTACAGCACCACTAACGGCACCACCACTACACGGACGACGATGATGGCGAGGCTGATTAGGATGACTAGACGACTATATGCTACTGCTCTGCTGCAATAGTGCCGGACAGAGTTGACCCGTTTATCAGGAGCATGCAGAGCGATGGCCACTTGGACGTAGAGAGGCTTCGGGTTTCGGCGAGTCTCGCAGATACCGACGGAGCACCTAGGGTAGGGGCAGCGGGACATCACGGAAAGTTCAAGGAAGAGCACTGCATGTGGACAACGATATCTACCACGCGCGGATGTTCTATAGATACACTTCGGACGCACACACACAAACACACAAACACGCACCCCGTCCAAGGGTCGAACCACATGATCATGACAAACGATGGATTTTTGCATCGCTGTTTCTTGTTCCTACCATGAAGTGCCACCAACATGCTGGTTGGCCATCAACTGACCTGGACGGTAGGTTGTGGATGCCGTGCGCCCTGCGATACCTCAACCCCTACACTGCCTACACTGAAGAAAGAGCAGGACAAGCATAAGCCGCTAGAGTCAGTCACGTAGGCATGGATGCACGCAGGCAGGCACGCACGCATGTGTGCAAGCACGGGTGTGTGTGCGTGCATGTGTGTGTGTGTGTTTCTGTGTGTATGTATGTATGTACGTAGGTATGTATGTATGTATGTATGTATGTGTGTGTGTATGTATGTATGTATGTGTGTATAAATGTAGGTGTGTATGTATGTATGTATGTATGTATGTATGTATGTGTGTATGAACGTATGTATGTATGTATGTATGTATGTATGTATGTATGTACGCACATATGCATGTAAGTATTTACGTGATTTCGCTGATTTGATTCTTGCTCATGTCGGAATCTTTCCCCACAGAAAATCTTTTGCGGCCGGGGAGAGTTAGCAGCAGCCTGCGCAAATTTAAAGCTGTGCTTGATGACTAAACCTTCCTGGGCTATGCTTGGAGGTCTTTTTATATCGTGCGCTGTACGGTTGCTGGTATAAATCCTGCAGAACCCATAAGGAATATGCCATAACTCCCATAGTTTAGGGTGCTTAAGGTCATTGAGGATTTGTAATCATCAACAGTATCACAGCCTTCGTCATGCTGAAGCGCTGGCTCCTGCCCAGCAAGGCTTTGCCCTCGTGGATGACTTGGCCAAAGCGTGCCATGCAGCAGCTTGGAGCTGTTTACAACGATCTAGCCGTGTTTTTTCGTTCTGAGGGCACATCACCCTAAAGTTTAAAGCCTAAACACTAAACTTACGCCGACTTCGCACCTGAGAGACCTCACCTCGCTTGTCCGAGTTCTGAGAGCGTAAAACTCGGAAGTTTGGATTTTGCCGTAGGTTGCACTCTGGTTGCATTCTTGACTTCAGGATCCCGAGGATGTGCTCGAAGCCGCTCGAATGCCTGGGAAGCAAAGATTTCAGAGTCTCAGCCGCACCAGGCCTCCTTGGTTCGAAGAAGCCGTAGCCCCTGGGTCTGTAGAAGAAATTCGCAGCTGTTGCCAAGGACTCTGAACGACGGCTCCAGGTACTGGATCCGTGCCACGCACGGCCACAGCCTGAAGAGCGTGGACGCGACGAAAGGGGGCTTGTACACAGAAGCTCGGACGAGGTAAGCAAGAAACGAGTTCCTTGGGATGAGCTGCAAAGGCAGCGCCCCTGTTCTTCCGAGGAAATCAAAAATGCCCTGCCCCTGTTGGTCCATGCTGTCGCTGGCTCTTCGGATGCACTTCAGAGTTCCGATGAGCTTCTGACGTTTAAACTTACCAAAAGTTGCCGCCCGTCCAAGGCGATTCCTTGCCGATTATCCTGGCCAATGGCATCAGCCGTAATGGGAAGCCACACATGCTGCAACTCCCCTGCAGCCCAGCGTCGCCAACGGGCGCCAAAAAGGCGCGCTTTTCCCTTCCCTTCGAGCTACGAGGTTCGCAGACTCCGATGAAGAGCCGGTACTGAGTCTTGGGTTTCAGGACGGGCAGCTAAGTCCAAGTCTGGTCGCTGAGTCGCGAGAAAGCAGCCTCGGCGCCAGGACTCCTGCAACATTCTCGTGTACATCAACATGGCAAAGGCAGGAGGGTTGTGAAAGCCGCCAGTCTCACAGCCGGATCTCAATGACGCGTAAGTGTCTTCCCAAATCCTGCCCATATAAGTATGCGGTAACATACTCACCTATTGATGTCATTCACCTCCCCTTGTGTTACGTACACCCATCCTGGGCAGGCCTTGTTTGCCGGCATTCCGTTCAGCCGGGCTCCGGATGGCATGGTCGTCTCCCCGGGCATCACGGAGAGGCGGCGAAGGAAAACAGAGAAGGCTGGTAGGGCCATAGGGTTCAGGGCCCATCGTTGAGTCGATGAGTCTGCATTTCAGGGCTTAGGCCCTTTTGTCCCTCTGGCACGAGGATGTCTGCACGTCCGGAACTCCAGTAGCAGCCATCCCGAGATCATCCCTTTCTAGGGTTTCGGAAAGTTTCGGGTTTGATTCGAGGTTCGCGGCTTCTCTCCCACCTTCCCCTCTCTCTGGGCAGATTGGCACCATACCGGCGGACTTTATCCTCCGCGTCGTCAACCGATATGGGGCCAACCGCGAGGAGGTCTGGCTGCCGGGCCGAGGCCCCGACCGATCCGACCCAAGTGTAAGGCCCCAATGAAAGCAAGTTTGAGTTTAAGGTTTAGGGTTTAGGGTTTAGCCCGGAGTGGAAAGCCTGTTGCAAAAAGGGTTTAGGGTTTACGGTTTAGGGTTTTAGGTGTTTTAGGTTTAGGGTTCGTTTAGGGGTTCATGTCATAAGGGTTTAGGGTCTAAGCAAGTTCTAGAATCAGCTGTAGGTTGAAAGAACCCTGTTGACAGCCCTCCAAGGACTCAAAAAGGACAAACTCCTAAACCCGTGGCCCGGGATTCGAAAAGGGGCCCAGCAACAGTCGCCACGCCCAACAGTTCAACAGACCTCAACGAAGCTACCTCGCCCAGAGTGTCCCAGTATGAGCACCGAAGCCGGTCTGATGGACCTGACGAGACTTGGGGTGGGGCAAGCCCTGACTTGCGATGGGGAGCTTGATCTTCGGTCCAACTCTTCCGTTTTTGGTAAGCTGCCGATCTGTCCATGACCTCTGCGATTCTGAAGTGTGCATGTCAGACTATAAGTATGATTTCGTACCTGAACTCATCTCGCCCGCCTAAACCCTAAACCCTAAACCCTAAACCCCAAACCCAAGCCCCTTCCGGCCAGGCAAGGGTCAGGGCAAAGGGAAGGGCGGCCCCGGAGGCTTTGCCGGAGGCCCCGGGGCCCCGAAGCAGCAAGCTCTGCCTTTGAGTCTGGGCCAGCAGAGGTTTTTTTCTTAGCCCTAAGCCCTAAACCCTAAAACCAGAGGTTTTTTCTTAGCCCTAAGCCCTAAACCCTAAAACCAAGAGAGGGAAAATAACCCTGTGCTTCACGCCGACTGCCCTCGATGAACCTCGCCTGGAGTGTAAACCCTGATTCGATGAGCCTGCTTCGGATCGCCTTCTAGAAGAGACTCCGTTGCGAAGGTGCTCCGAGGTATGTATATATATATATAATATATATAATATGTGTATATATATATATATTTTTTTTTTTTGGGGGGGGGGTATCCTTATTGTGATTTAGAATGGGCCCCCAAACCCTATTATAATTATTAAGGCCCCTATTTTAGGTTTTCTG